CACCCCAGCACCCACTGTCCTGCTCTAGGCCTGAAACTGGGGTCCCCCGCACTGGCTGCCCACCCCATGAGCCCAAGGACACATATGTCCCCCCAGAACAGAGACACACCCCCCCTCCAGTGGCTCGGTGTTAGCAGAGATCCCCTCATGCTCCCCATGAGAAAACCTTTTTGGGGAGCAGCCACCAGAAGATCACCCTGCTGTGGCTTTTGGGACCAGAGGTTCTACAAGGGGACAGCACCAAGGGACACTGGCTACAGACACAGAGCAGAGGAGCCCCCAGGAAAGCCAAGCACAGAGAGACCCCAACCCTGGGGGAACAGTTTCCCCCCACCTCAGGAGGGTGAGGAGTGGGGTGGTACCGTGCCTGGCTGCAGGAAGGGGGGACACAGTTCTGCTGCAGCATGTCCCCAAGGGATGCTGCAGGGACATCTCCCGGCAAAACCAAGCTCTGACATTTCAGAGCACTGCCCTGCAATGACCCAGCAGACAGCAGAGCCCAGTAGTTTCCCCCACACACAGGGTTTTCCCTCCAGGCTCCCAAAACACCCAAGGTTCAGACCATGCTGTGCTCAGCAAAGCTCCCGGCGAGTGCCTGAACATGGTTGGGGTCCCCTCAGCGAGGGACATCCAACTGTCCATCTGCTGCCACCCCCTCGGGCAAACACAGAGCTGCCAAGCCTGGATAATTCCTGAGGCTGCCCATCGCCTGCATGAGGCTGGACACCCCAAACAGGCAGGATGGGGCCCATGGCTCCCCAGGACATTGGTCCTGGATCTGGCAGCACCTCCTTCTTACCTGTCCATACTCCCTGTCGATGGTGGCCCTCTGCTTGCTGTAGGACCTGGGGGGAGAGGGGACATGGGGCAGGAAAGGACACACAGAGAGGGGCAGGGACAGGCCACCCCTGCCATCCCCCTGCTATTCCCCCCCGCCACCACCCCTCTGCCATCACCCGCTGTCATCAACCCCTGCTCTTGTGCCCCTGCCCTCATCCCTGATACCACCCCACACCTGGATGTCCCCATCAGGCCACCCCAGAGGCTGGTGGAGCCTGTGACCTCGAGGTGCCAGGCTCAAGGTGAACTGTGCCCGGTCCCTGGGCCACACGTGGGATGAGCTGCCTGGCCTCCAATCAGGGACACACACACACCAGTGGGATGAGCTGCCCGGTCTCAGCTCTATCGGGGGGTGTCACACGCACTCGTGGGGCCGTACCTGATGTCCTCCAGCAGCTCGGCGTCCCGCTGCTGCTTGCTCTGCAGGCCCGAGAGCTGCTCCAGGACGTGGACCCGCAGCTCCTGCGTGAGCTTGAC